GCACAGGAAAGACATGGACTTGTTAGAGCAGGTTCAGAGGAAGGCTACAAAAATGACCAGGGGGATGGAACACCTCTCCCATGAACAAAGGTTGAGAGAGTTGGGTTATTCAGCCTGGAGAAGAGAAGGCTTCGGGGAGACCTTATTGCAGCCTATCTGTACTTAAAGGGGGCTTTAAGAAAGATGGCGGCAAACTTTTTAGCAGGGCCTGTTGCGACAGGACAAGGGGTAATGGTTTTAAACTAAAAGAGGGTAGATTTAGACTAGATATAACGAAGAAATTTTTTACAATGAGGGTGGTGAAACACTGGAACAGGTTGCCCAGAGAGGCGGTAGACGTCCCATCCCTGGAAACATTCAAGGTCAGGTTGGACGGGGCTCTGAGCAACCTGATCTAGTTGAAGATGTCCCTGCCCATGGCAGGGGGTTGCACTAGAGGACCTTTAAAGGCCCCTTCCAATCCAAATCATTCTATGATTCTATAAACCACCACTATTATTCTGGCCACTGTGTATTTATATACACACTTGGGAAGTCCTTTACAACTTGAATTTTACTCTAAAAGTTTTGAACTGCTTTAAAATTCTCCTAAGGTATTCTCCAAAATATCCCTTCTAGAGGTACTGATAGTCAGGTCCTGGACTGAACACCTTACTTGAGGTTGTTTTACAGCAGAGCAGCAAAGTTTTGTGGAACAAGTGAGACTGAGAGACTGCCTAGAAACATTTTCCTCCAAGTTCTTCCACACCCGTGTGGCAGCACCTCCAGAAAACACTTTTCTATTTGTTCATGATAGTTCTAAACCTCTGTAACAAAACTTCCAACAACATCCTCCCCACTGAAGCAGTGCTGCTGTTATTATGGATAGCAATACAAAGATAGTCAAAGAAAACTGTCAGATACACTTGGAAGCTAAAGGTCACAATAAGCAGGAAAAGAAAATACTTTACCATGTACATGAGACTGTTGGAAACTTTTTCCTGGAGCAAAGTGGAAATTTCCAGCTACCTGCAGGAGACAGTAATCTTTCATTAGAAGGTCTGATTCTATATAAATAAAGCAGTCGTACTGGTGCTTGTATTTTTAAATTTTTGTTCAAACGAGATACACCAAGCAACTCATTTTCATAGGTGACAATATCAGCAGATACTGTCCTAAAAGAGATATGAATTTCCCTTCTTCCTCACAGGCAGTCACGTGGAAAGCCATAATTACATGCTGATGTTGATAATAACTGTTCTATGCAGATTATTTTAGTGGACATAAAAATGGGAAGAAGAAGGAGTTAAGTCTATTGGGAGGGAACTGACTGCTCGGTACCCATGATGATGCTCAAATCACAATGTCTGGCTTTGTGAGTAAAAGGTTTACTTTCCAGAAATAAAGAATGTGGTCTCCAGGAAGAATACACAAAGATGTAAAAAAAAAGAGAGTTTGAATTAAAAAAAAAAAAAAAAATTAGCCTGGGCCTGACTTTTAGAATGTACTTGGCTCTGTAACCTGTATGTCCAAGTGTTCTGCATTTGGTAACCCGCCAAATGACAGGGTAGTTACAGTTATCTGGTATATCTCATACTACATTTTCATACAACAGTTGCAAAAACCACCTCTCTGAGCATTTTCAGCTTTAACAACCAACTCCAACTGTCTCGCTTCCACTGTTTTTCTAAAGCAGATAACATTTCACTCTCTCCAGCACCTGTGCTGGGAAGTTCTTGGTTACTGTTATTTCCAGCATCCACTGGTAGTCTCTGTTGTAAGACTAGAAGGCCAGGTGGGACAATCTAACCTCAGAGAAGCTGCCTCTCCTCCTCCGGAAACCTCGGCAAAATGACTCACTAGCTATACGGTAGGAAAAGCTAAGCTTCTCCAGGCGGCATGCTTCCTACCAGCCCACACAACGAAACAGAGAATTAGCCCCTTCCCACCGCTTCTCCTACTGAACCCCCTTATGGGCACAAGTACCTTGCTGAGCCCAGGGGTTATTATATTACAGTCCTGTGAACACCTACAGCTGGAAAAGGAGAGGAACGCCCCGACCCTGCCTTTTCACAGTCATCACCATCATGCTGCTGCACGATGTTCACAGCAAAACCCATCTCTCACCTTGTTGACCTCTAGGGTGCAGCAGGTTCACAGCAAAACCCGTCTCTCACCTTGTTGACCTCTAGGAAACCATACACTTGGCAGCCCTCGTTCTTCTGCTCCTGCATTTTCTGGCTAAACCCTTCTCTCTTGCACTGCTCTATGGTATCTGGGTTCTTGAAGGCCCAGCCTCGTCGCCTGTATGCTTCTCTGACATCGTCACAAGTATTACAACACCTGCAAAAGCACAAGCACCATCTTACCATCTTTATCGCTATAAAGAGATGCTCCAGCTCAGGACTTGAATCCTTGGTGGATTTTTCTTCAACAAAGCAATAAATCAAACATCAGGGACTGGACCTTAAAAGTTGGCCTAATGCTTCTGAAGGAGCTCAAACTTCTTAATGTACTTTTTGAGATTTTGGCAAGAGAATGCAAGCTGTTTTAATGCAGTGCTTGAGTCTGAAGAGGGCTTTCCCTGTCCATTTAGACAGCCAAGTCACTTCTTGGCATAGAAATCCAACATCAGTATCCCACAGTTCTGAGCCGTTTGGAAATTCCCTGTGTGAACAAAGCATCTGCCTGTTTCTATTCCTCCTTTCCTCTGTTTTTAGGCCAAGACTGTCAACATTGGAAGGAGGGTTAATGGCAAGCTTTCTTCATTACTTTTCTACCTCTGGATAACATCTTGGTCACCGGAAAAAACAGTTTGCTTTCTTAGTTCCATGTTTTGCTGGACCAGAGACAAAGTTGAAGGCTGGAATCATGAATCCCTCAAGATGGAAACATCCCTGAGGAAGGATGCAACTTGACAGATGGGACAAACCAAGTTACTACAGAGACAATAATAGCAAAGGATAGTCCAGAACCTGTGGACTATCACAGATCCATTCTTACAGGAATTTGCAGGTAGGAGGAATGAGAAACACCAAATGATACCCGTTGTTTGTGTGAGCGATAAATGTCTGGTCTTTGCTCCCGTAAGGATGCAAAGCCTGCAGCAGAAGTAAGAAGGCAAAGCCATAACCAGGTTTTATTCCAAGACAGCTCACGTAATGATGAAATTATTTACACAGCTCCCCTCTGGACACCAAATAACCCCAGAAAAGATTCCGTTTGCTGAGATACAATCTTTGTGCTACTGCAAAGGTAGTGCAGTTTGCACTGCCCTTAAACAGGCGTGTAGACAACTTAACTCTGCATGTTCTTAACAATCATGAGTGCAGCTTCTAAAGGCATACCAAAACCACAACAGTTCTCATCATTCTCTGAACTTGTGCCAGGAGGATTTCATTGCACAGACCTTCATAGACATTTTGAAAAAAAGCCGTGCATGCAACATAACTGTATTAATTCAAGTGCTAAGAAGATACGAAAAAGCATAAAGGTTACCGAATGTCTTCTGACTCTGCGCCGTAACAGCTCTCGCAGCGATTGGTATCCAAAGAATTTGGATCAAACACTTTTTCTTCTTCTTTCCCCAGCTCTAAGACAAAAGAGGATTCAAAGTAATGAGGCATGTCCAGAAATGCTACCTTGTACTCTTGTTTTGTTCTACACACAAGTAACCGTTTGTCGTGGTTTAACCCCACGCAGCCGCTCACTCACCCCCCCTCCGGTGGGATGGAGGAGAGAATCGGGAGGGCACAAGTAGGAAAACTCCCGGGTTGAGATAAAAACAGTTTAATAATTGAAAGAAAACAAAATAGAACAGTAATAGTAACAGTGAGGACAACAACAATAACAGAATATACAAAGCAGGCGATGCACAATGCAACTGCTCACCGACCACCGACCGCGTGTCAAAGGCGAGCCCCTCCCCCCCCGCCCCGGTTTTTATACTGAGCATGATGTCACATGGTACAGAATACCCCATTGGCCAGCTGGGTCCACCACCCCGGCTGTGCTCCCCCCGCCCCGTGCGAGCATCACCCAGCAACAGCCAAAGCATCACTGGGCCATCAACGCTCCTTTCATACCAAACCCAAAACACAGCACACCCCCCAAGCTACTGGGGAGAAAGTCACCCCTGTCCCAGCCGGAACCTGTACACCGTTCTACACATGAACACAACGATTTTGTGTCGGAAGCTGCGCATCCTGCACTCAAAGCCCACCTGAAACGGTACGCATAGAGCCTGTTGAGGTGTGAAGTAAGACCAAGAAGCAGAGGAGCATTTGTCATCTCAAGAACACCCTCCATAGAAGGAACTGGCTATCTGCAAGCCTTGCTGGAGCACTGATCAGATGTTACTTGCATAAAGGCTTTGTTAAAACATTGTCTAAAGTAGACACAATCAGTAAATTACGACTGATACAGGACCTGTTACACAAACAAAATTTTAAATACCAGTCAACCACAGTCAGTGCATAATGCATAATCCTGTCCCAGACGTGTAGGATATTGCTGTGAAACAAGATCAGAGTGGGAGTCTCCCGAGTGGAAGATTGACACCCAGTTCTCCAGGATGACAATGCTGACAAGGCACACACGTTAACCACTGCTCACTAGAAATCTCCAAGGACTTTCTACCTTCTTCGTGACTTAACAATTCTGCCAATGTCTGTGCCACACGTGTGTTGAACGTGCAGCTGCAGTACGGCTGGGGCATGAACTCATGGAGTTTTATGTTCTTATGTGCAGAAGGCTGAAGAGGGACTTGTAAGAGAGGAGATGAGAGCTGGTGACAGCTGAAACCTGCGAAAGGGCAGGAGATGCCTACAGAAAACTCAAACAGGACTTTTGTTTTGTCAGGAACCAAAACAAGTATCAAAGGTCTGCAAATTTTGGAGTTAGGAGTAATTCAGCCAAGGAATTTTGTCTCTAAAATTTTCAAAACCATTGGCTCTTATAGTAAGAGGACCCCTTAAAATCAGGCTGTTTCAACTCACAAATCCTGAAGGACAGGACCAAGTCTCCTGGGTTACAAAAGCCCTCAAAGGCTCACTATCTAGGCACTGCTGCACTACCCTCTATAAGTCTTGAAAAGGTGGCTCCTTGGATAACTAATGCTGGGGAAGGTGATAAAGTACATAGTCAGACACTGCTAAGGGGATAAAATGTTATCAGGGCCTTGTTTGGTGAGATCGGGAGGTGGACGGAAGTGAGTATTAAAGATGTCTGTATTTCACATTAGCCACAGAAAAAAGAGATTTTAATTAGAAAGCATGAAATATGCATGAAAATCAATCATTAACCTTATTTCTTTAATCAAATACTTTATGGTAGTTCTGATCGAGCAAATAAAAACTTACCCATTATTAAACAACTGTGTGAGACTTTCTTTCTAAAGCTTACAACATTCAAAGTAGTTGAAAGTGCACTTAAGAATTCATTGTTTAAAAAGTGGTATGGCTTTTCATCTTGCAATTACACTAAAAGATAGTGTCAGGAAGAATATGGCTTAATAACTGCTATGCTTTGTCAAAGCCGTGATTCCCACCATTTGAACAAGAACACCTGTACAATACATGGAGTCTTTCAAGATACAGCAACCAGTAACAGCTTTTTAAATGTAATCAGTAGCTGCCTGTTGAGTTGTCTCGGAAACAGCATCCAGAGGTAATGCACACAGTTTAGATACTATAAAGAAACTGCAGTACATAAAACTCTACATGCAGGGTTTCTTGCTGTTTACATGGTCCTCAACTTGCATGCAGATATGATACATGAAATTGGAAAACTCTGTCCACGTTAAAAGGAAGAAAACGATTGAGAACCACCAATAAAGAATTCAATCCCTTATTGTCATTCAATGGAAATGAGTAAGATCATCCAAGCACAGAATGCAACCTATCATAGAATCATTAAGCTATTAACTATTTTAATGTAACTATGATTAGGAAAAGCCTCCAGATACTACTCCATAAAATTTGGGTATGCTTTACTAAATTTAAGGTCAATACTGCTATAGTTGCCATTTAAATAACTGACTGAACGTCAGTGTTACTAATAGAAACTGATAATCATAGAGTTTAATGAAGACGGGTGGATACTTCCGATCTAACTTGCAACACAGGTGATGGAAACTGAACTAGCCGTGTGCTTTTTCCAGACAGCAGAAGAAATTGCTTGTTGCATGCAATGCATCTGATCTCTTTTAAAATGCCTCTTCTAGGCGAGAATGTTTGCTCTCTGTAAGTTTATCTTCCTCTCTATTGGTTATACAAGCAGTCAGAGCAAACGGTTCAGACGGAGTAATCCTGATGGAGATTGGCAATACAAGTAAGACAGGAGGCCTACATGTGTTAACAGAGAATTAGATACAGAAAAGCTGTTTTTGTCCCCAGACATTAAATTTGTAATGCCACAACTTCTGAATACAGAAAGGCTGCTAAGTAACACAATAGTGAGAACACTATCATGACGTTCCTGTGACAACGGGAGAAACTCTTGTACCTACTGATTTTTCAGCTCTTCACTTAGTTTAGCCTTTCAACTTCAAGAACAGAGAAGTTAAATCCGAGTGATACAAATTAACAAATTTAGTTCATGCTGATACGTAGAACTACACTATCTCCCAGAAAAGGTAATAAGGAACTCATGTTCGTTAAGGACACTATTACTGTTAGATTGCAAAGCTTTGCCAGAATCGTTCCTGGTTTGTATCGAAGTACAACGATGAGTCATAACATATAAAGAATGTATAGGAGAGGTTTATGTAGCCAAGGACCACTTACTTGTAACCAATAAATTGACTAAAATATATTTATCAGATATGCATTAACACACACAAAGAAAACATAGTAAAGTGCAAATTTAGGCTTAAGGGTCAAGTCACTGGAGCCTTCCCTGGAGAGAGGCTCTTTCCTCTAACTAGGTCATCCCATTTGTCAGCCTGCTGTGATTTAATGATACAACCAAAGTCAAGTTTTGCCAGAACAGCTGCTTGATTTCTAGTCATAAGAGACCATTAACTCAGCAGCTTTATTCGTGAAATGCATCCATAAGTCCTTGTCATAATATCAGAGGGACTAGGCAAAGATTTGCTTCGCAAAAGTGGTGAGTATAATAGGAGATTGTCTGATCTGCCAGTTTAATAGATCTGCGTGCTATAAACTCTTCAAAAGATTATGGTATTTAAATGCTCTTCAGTTGTCACTTGTTCCCATGAATCTCAAAACAGGCATACAGTGATGGGAAGACTACCACAGCATCTATCCAAGAAAGGCAGAACAGCATCTTACCATGCCTTTCGGCCTCTGGAGTCACACGATGGCCAGCTTTATCCAAACGTTGTTTAAACAGATTGTGCTCTACATCCAGCTGCTGCTCTCCTGCTACATCCATGGCATCGATGCTCAAATCTGAAACCAGCGAGCATAACTATGACTAGGAGAAGCCTCCAGATACTACTCCATAAAAAAACCCAAATCCAAATCCCTCAAAGCCCATAACCATTTTCAGGAGTTCAGGAGCTAAGCTTAAAATTGGTTGAAAGCTGCCTCCTACCTCTACCCCCCTTCATCCTTCCCCCTTCAACATCAGCACGCTTCCTTGTGATCCCTCTTCACAAAGAAGATTGAGAAGGTTTGTGGTCTCAGCCTGGTATCAAAGCACCATGATGCACTTGCTGGCTACATGCTCTCATGTAAGACTGACAGTTTCTCTGCACAAAACAGCAGAGGTTTCCAGCCTCTCTGGCCTTCCCACGCCCTTTTAAATGTGAGGAAGGCAAAGACCAATAATATCTTGGGTGGTCAGAAGGAAGTCAGACTCACTACACGTAGAGCCCAATGCATTACTCAGAGGAATTACTACAGCAGAACAAGAGGCAGGGAAGATTAGTGGACAGTCGGATAACATGCACAGCAGTAATACCCAGTAAGACTTGCAAAATTTTCCATCACTTCATCCTGCAACTTTGTTTTGAATTTAGTTAAAAGGTAATCGGATTATTAATGCTCATTGTGATTTTAAAAATTTTGGAGAAAGGTCATCACGTGGCATTACAGTCAGAATTTAAGTACAAAAATCACAGAAAAGTTGTGCCTTGTCATGTAACTTCCAAAGGAGACTCTAAAGCTTTTCAACAACAATAAAGTCAAATCTTGAGTGCCAAGTGAACTCTGTGCCAGCTTTTTCAATATTACTGAGCTCTCTGATAAAGTACACCACCACACAGAAATGTAAGTGGGTTTACGCCTTAGCCTCATTTATAATCTAGAAAAATAAGACTGCCTGACTGGAAGCGCTGGTTTAAGCGCCCAGCGGGCCTGGCTGGAATCACTGCATAACCACAAGGGATCACCAGTTCCTCCCTGTCCGTGGCCCAAGCAGCAGTGCGGCGTTCGGAAGCACCAGGCACACTGAGCCTGTTAGGCCCTCGGCAAGTACGAAAATTATCCCCAATATTCAGAAGCCTGACTCACAAGCACAAGGCATATGTGGAAAAATAACATCTAGATTGATCTTCAGTTTGTCTCCCCTTGATTTGTCAACATACAATTCCGGATGAACCTAGGAACAAAGGAAAAACGGAGAGTCCTGTTTCACTTGGAAGCCAATCAAAAGGCCTCCTTCCCTCCACCGCTCTGGCTCAGGAGCTGATTTTTAAGACGTGGGACTTGCGAGACCCCTGAGCTGCTGCCTCCCACACTTTCCACGGTAGCCAAGCGCTTGCCATTTGTAATACTTTTAAAAAAGGTAACAATTTGGGAATCTTAGAATTCGGGGCGGGGACAGGGGTTCCTGCGCTCGCTTTCCCTCCTTCGTATTGCCTGCTTCTAGGCGGCGGAGACGGCGAGAGGAGATTTTGGGACGCCCTCCGGCGACAGCCTTACGGGAGGCCACAAGCCAACCTCTGCGCCAGGCGGCTTTCAGGGGAGG